CCCAATGCCTTACCCATAGTGTTTCCAGAACTCTTTCCATAGAAGAAAAGAGAGGTGGTGATTTGCTCCAATAAAGATTACAGCCAGAAACTCTATTGGACAGTTTTACTCTGTCCTAGGAGCTCTGGTGGTGCAGTGGCTAAGGTATTTGCTGGCTAACCAGAAGGTTGGAGGTTCAAACCCACCAGCCACTCCATGGAAGAAAGTTAGGGCAATCTACTTCTGTAATGATTAACTGCCTCAGAAACTGTGAAACCCCAATGGGGATCACTATGAGTTGTAACTGACTTGATGGCAGTGAGTTTGGTTTTTGGTTTGGTATAGGATCATTATGAGTCAGAACTGAATTGACTGTGCCTAACTACAATCTTCCTAACAACCTTGTGAAGTCTTTATATAATCTTTTTATAGATGAGGAAAAAAAATTAAGGAGATTAACTTGTCCAAGGTCTCAGAGCTTATAGGAGGTAGATTCTGGGAGTGTAATTTACTCCAAACTCCAAAAATCCCCACCCATCATGCCAATAATTCCCCCTGCTAAACCAGAAGGCTGGTGGTTCAAACCCACCAGCCGCTCCTCGGAAGGAAGGTTGGGCAATCTACTTCTGTAATGATACTGCCTCAGCAACTATGAGTTGGGTCCGACTCGATGGCACATAACAACAACAACAACAACAATTCAGAAGCTAACCTTTGCACCCTCTGAATATTGCTTCCATTTGGAGCTCTGGTAGCATAGTGCCTAAGGCACTTGACTGCTAACCAGAAGGCTGGCGGTTCAAACCCACCAGCCACTCCTCGAAAGGAAGGTTGGGCAATCCTACTTCCATAGTCATACTGCCTCGGAAACCCAAGGAGGGGTCACTATGAGTCGGGGCCGACTCGACGGCAAATAACAACAACAACAACAAACATTCATACTCCCTAAGCAAAAGCTCCCAGAACTCTTCCCATATACCAGCCAGCAGAAGCCCAAGAGCTCTCTGGAAAAATCATTTTTCAGCCAGATTAAAGCGCAACAAGCAACTTAGATCAGCTGGAAAATACAGTTCATAATGTCTCTGTTCCATTAGCAATGCATTTAAAATAAGAGTGGGAAAAACAGCATACTATTTAGCAATTAAAAAAAAAACAACACTGAACTAGGCATTTGACCTCTGGCAAGCCATTGTGCTTATTTTGGATTTAGCTCCATAGATAGTGAAACAGTATTAAAATCATGGTGTCTGGGCCTTCCCAGATCTCATCTCCTAAGGCTGGAGCTATAACTCACCTGTAGGAGTAAATTCTATTACACGGGTAATATGATATTGTTTTCCCAAGTACATATAAGACGCATGACAAGAATATATCCCTTTATGTTCTTCAGTGACATTAATTATGAAGAGTTTATTTCCTTCTCCAATATATTTTATATTGTCAAGAAGAAAAGGTTTGCAATCCTAGGGAGCAAGAGGAAGCATTGGAAAACAATGAATAACTTTCCCCAACTGTCCAGCAAATGGAACTCCATTTCTTTACATGTTATGTAAAATAAAGTTACTAACAAGTTTTCTTGCATGGAATTTAAGTGCTTAATCACTGCATTTCCTTTTTGTTTGGTGAAAGTTAACTATATTCCTAGGATATTAAATTTTTATGCCTATGAATTTTGAGCTATGAAGACAAGTGAACACAAATTTATTTTGCAAGGAAAATATGTTTGAGGAAATTTTCTTAGCAATAACATACTTCACTTCACTGCTCTTATTCATTTAGTACATTTCAACTTCAACAAGATGCTTCCCCATTTAAGTTCCAGTTGACTAGCTGATGAGACATACCAAAACATTATGACATATTCCATGGAATGCTAGTCAATCTATTTTGAGGCACTTACAGAAACCATTAAGTTATTTGAGGACCACTTAATGTCAGTAACAAAATGCAAAATGACATATTTAATAAATATTTCTTAAACACCTTAAATTTATAATCAACCTTCTTTTTAAATGTCTTTTTTTTGGTATTACTACTTATCTTAATTTTATCTTACTAAATTAAATAAAAGCAAAAGCAAGTTCTTAAACTTCATATTAAATGAATATAAAATTCCTTTTAAATTTTCCAGTAAGTTCTACCACTCAACTGAAAAAAAAAAAAAAAAAAACACAATAAAAAAGCATTTTGCAGATTCATCCTATTGTCCATGATATAAAACTACTTTATTTGCTAGAAAAGTAAAATACTACTCTCAAAATAAAATTACCTTATACCACTGGACCTGGGGAAACTCATAATTTTCATCTTTAAACAAATTCAAATTAGGGCACACAAGTGCTCCATGTTGTCCAGTGGGTAGTTTCTGTGGAAATGTAACTAGTGTGTTGTAACACAAGTTAGGCTCATTCTCCACAAATTTCACAGTTGTTTTAACTTTGAGGCAGTAAGTTGAATTTCTAAAATAAAATAAAATAGGTGAATTTAGCACCATTAAAAGATATTCATTTTTGCCCTTATTTACTGCAAGTACCTAGAATACAATTTTGTAATGCATTAATTCATTTCTTACCTTACCACACAATAGTAATGTCCTGAATCCTCTACCTTAGCAGGAACAAACCAGAGTTTATCTTTGAACTGATGAATTCTGGAGTCTCGTTCCACAGATATAAGTGTCTTGCTGTCATTTTTATACCAAATTCTAGTGCCTTTGTTTTCAGTCCACTTAGAACACAAACGAACAATAATTTCATTTGCAGAAAAAATGGGAACTATTTCATCTTCAAATTCCTGGCATTTATCTTTAAAAAGGAAGAAGAGGAAAAAAATTTCCATAAAATTTTGTCAATGTTTCTTAATAAACTATCTTAATACAAATGTATCAATTCATATTTTACATGAATACTTTATAGCCTCACAAGTAAGAGCATTATCTTGGGAGTCTAGAAGATTTATACTCAAGTCTAGTTGTCCTGTATGCCCTTGGACAAGTTATTTAACCCTTTTCACCTCTCTTCAATAATCAAAATAATGAGGATAATAGAGGAGGAGAGACTTCTGCTTTGGTACAAGATGCAAACAGGGACTAGATATACTGAAGCAACTGAAAAAAAAAATGGCAAAGTATGTGAAACAAGAATGTTTAAGACATTGAATATCAGGAAAGAAAGAGCAGAGAACTCATATTGATAAGGAACAAGATGATAATCCTTATAACTGTTCCAATCTACTGCCTGGAGAGAGATTCCAGGCCATAATGTGGCATAGAGTAAACACAAGGGAGACCCAGTGCTCTCTCTGAGTTGAAAACATGGAGTTGGAAATCCAAGTAGACCAAGAGTTTGCAAGGCAGAGTACCAAAAAGGAGAGTAATGTATTGCAGATGTAAAAAAAAAAAAAAAGTCCTAGTTTTCAGATGAGTACTGATCAGTTAAGAATGTAAGGAGATTGCACAAGGCAAAGGTAAGAGAATCATTACCTTCAAGTTGATTGCAACTCATAGCAAGCCTATAGGATGAACTTGAACTGTCCACAGAGTTTCCAAGGCTGTAACCTTTATAGAAGCAGATTGCTGCATCTTTTTCTCCATGGAAAGGCTAGTGGGTTTGAACCACCAACCATCTGGGTAGTAGTCAAGGACTTAACCAATGCACCACCAGGGCTTCTTACACAAAAGAATTAGAATAATATTTAGGGCACACACAACACTGGACATAGTTGCTGTTTGTTTCCAGCAGCCAGAATGAAAAACCTTATTAATCATGGGACATTGCCTAGAGTACTCAGAAGGACTTTTGCCTTAGGTAGTTGGAGAAAATTGTCATTGGTGGTGGATGCCGTTGAGCGGATTATAAATTATAGTGACTCCATGTCACAGAGTTGAACTGCCCACCGTAATCTTTATGGAAGCAGATTACCAGATCTTTCTCCTACAGAGCCACTGAATGAGTTCAAATCCCCAACCTTTCAGAGAGTAACCAATCACTTAACTGTTTTGCTACCTGGGCTACTTTGGAGAAAATTAAGCCTAGAATAAACATTGTCCTGATACTCTAAAAGCAAGCTTAAAACTAAGCTTAAGAGTTTAAGAATAGAACCCGAGACATAAGGGTAAATCTTCAGGATCTTGGATTTGGCAATGACTTCTTCAATATGAAGAAGCTCTGGTGGCATAGTGTCTAAGGCATTTGACTGCTGACCAGAAGGCTGGCAGTTCAAACCCACCAACCACTCCTTGGAAGGAAGGTTGGGCAATCTACTTCCATAGTGATACCACCTCAGAAACCCAAGGAGG